GCCCTGACGGCTGAGTGGACAGCGCTCGTGGGTTGTAGTCCCAAGGGTCCGGGTTTGATGCTATGCATGCTAGTGGCTGTACAAGAATGTAAGAACTCTTGTATATATAAATAAATACAATTAATAAAGGTGTATATTATATATAAATATATTATATATATACTACGCTTGACTGCTGTAAAGGGTTCTCCGTCGGCTTCGGGCTGTTTTTAATGATGAGGTCGGTATTTTTTTTTTTTTTTATAGAATATGATCTGGTCTACGTTTTGGTTAGGAGTTGTGTTTTTTTTTTACTCCTTTACGGATTATTTCTTTCATTATTCGTTCTCCTTTTTAATGTTCACTGTGCATGGTTGATTTGTAATATAATTTTATTGGAGGTATTGTGGTTTCTGTTCTTGGTTCAGGATTGTACCATCGGTCCAGGTGTCGTCTTATAGCGGTGTTTATTTCCGTGTTGTTATATTCACTGTTCACCAAGACCTGAGTTATTCTTTCAAATTCCCTACTCACGTTGTTCCATTCAGAGCAGTGGGTAAGGGCTCGATGAATATAAGCGCTGAGAACACTGGCTTTGTATCTTTGGGGGCACTCACTCTTACCGTTCTGGCATAATCCCATGTTAGTGGGCTTGGTATATACGTTGGTGCTTAAAGAGGTTCCTGTTTTGGTTATTAGTACATCCAAGAATGGCAGACTGTTATTTTCACTATTTTCATGTGTAAATCGGAGTACTGACTCTCTCTAGATGGCTTTTTAGATCAATTAGTTCATCTGAGTCTTTTACGACGAATATGTCATCTACATAACGACAGTGTACAATTGTTTTTGCTTACTACTGAAGACTCTTTCTTCGATGGTTCCCATGTAAAGATTTGCAAATAACACTCCTGGGGGGAAGCCTATTGCTACTCCGTCTATTTGTAGATATAGTAGATATAAATGTCTCCTTGCGGACTGATGAAAAGAGGTTCCTTTGTACATGCCTCGAGAAGACTCTTCAAGTATGGCTTGGGTATGTCTAATTTGGGGGTGCTCTCGTCTCTGTATACTCTGTCCAGTATCATTTCTATGGTGGTGTCGACTGGGACGTTGGTAAATAGGGATTCGACGTCCAGGGAAGCAATGATTCCATCGGGCTGTGTAGTCTTTAATAGTTCTAGGAAATCTGCTGATGATTGTAGACTATAGTTGCTTGGAATGTATCGAGTTAGGAGTTCGTTAAGTCTTTTTGCCAGGTGATAGGTTGGAGTTTGGCTGACTATTGGGCGTAGTGGGTTACCTGGTTTGTGTGTCTTTACATTGCCATATCCTAAGCCATAGTCGCGTTGGAGTTTAGCGAAATGAACAGTACCTCTCTGCGTTGATTGCGGTAATAGTAGTTCTTACAAGCCACGCCACACCCGCGCTGCTACACACACACACCCATCTCACACCCACTCGTCCCAGCCACACCCTTACTTACCCATTCCCGACTCTCCTGCCCCAGCTAAATCCGCCTACCCACGTTGGGCCTTCTCCTGTCACAGCCGCATCCAGACACAGGAGACTACATCCCCCCTACCCTTCACACTGCCCCAGCCACACCCCCACCTACCCCCCCCCCCTCACACTACCCCAGCCACACCCCCACCTACCCCCCCCCTCACACTGCCCCAGCCACACCCCCACAGAGCACTCACCTGGTAGAGCTTGATGATGTGAGGATGGTCGAGAGTCTTCAAGACCTTGACTTCCCGGTGGACCTTCTGGAGGTTAGCAGAGTCCAGCTGTGACTTGTCAATGATCTTAATGGCCAC